CAAATGTTTTAAGGTATATAAAATATATTTTAAAAATCACAAAATGCCTACTCATATCATTAGGTCATTTAAAAAAAAAATTGAGTGATGTATTTTCTCCCTCAGTTTTAAGGAATTTAAGGAATTCATTATATATTAGGGATATTAGCCCTTTATCTGTGATACATGTTGCAAATATTTTTCTATGAGTTTGTTATTTGTTTTCAAACTTTGTTATTGGTGTTTTTACCATGCATTATTGTAATTATTATTTCTATGCCAAAGATATCAATCTTTTATTTTACTACATCTAAATTTTGAGTCATAATTAAAAATGCTTTCCATAAACATAGGTTATGGGTGAATTCACCATTCTTTCCCTCTAGTATTTGTATACTTTTATTTTTAAACTTAGATTTCTGATCCATTTAGAGTGTTTTGTATTTGATATGTGATATAATACAATTTTATCTTCTTCAAAGTGGTTATATAGTTGGTCAACAACTTTTCCTAGTAATTTGAAATGACACTTTTATCATATATTACATATCTATTTGTACTTGAATCTATTTCAGAGTTTTTATTCTATTCCTCTTGTTTTTCTATGTGTACCTCAATCATCCTCTCTTTTAATTATAAAGGCTTTATAATATGTTTCAGTATCTCATAGGGCTAGTCCCTTTCGTAACTTCTTTTTTTCAGTTTTTATCAAGCTATTCTTGCATGTTTAATTTTCTAAATAAACTTTAATATCAACTAATCTAACACCATAAAAAAGCTTGTTGTAAGACAAGTGTCCAAAAGACTTAAATGTAAGACCTAAAACTGTAAAACTTCTAGAAGAAAAAAATAGGATAAAATCTTCATGACACTGGTCTTGGCAATGATTTCATGGACATGACACCAAAATCATAGGCAAAAAAAGTGAGGCCAAATCAAACTCACTAAAATCTTCTACATAGCAGAGGAAACCATCAACAGAGCAAAAAGGCAAACTACAAAATGGGAGAAAATATTTTCAAATCGTATATCTGATAAAAGGTTAATCTCCAAAATATATAAGAAATTCCTACAGCTCAAGTTAAAAAATCAAACAAATAAACAAACAAACTAATATGCTAATTTCAAAATTGGCAAAGCACTTGAGTAGACATTTCTTCAAATATAATATACAAATGGCCAATAAGCATATAAAATTATGCTCAACATCACTAATCATCAGAGAAATGCAGATCAAAATCACAATGAGATACCACCTCATACCTGTAACAATGGCTATTATAAAAAAGACAAGAAATAACAAGTGTTGGCGAGTATGTGGAGAAAAGGGCACCCTCATATGCTGTTGGCTGGAATACAGTGTGGTGCAGCTGCTATGGAAGTCAGTATGGAGGGTCCTCAAAAATTAAAAAAAGAACTATCATATCATCCGTCAATCTCACTTCTGAGTATTTATCCAGAAGAATTGAAATCAGAATCTTGAAGCGATATTAGCACTCCTATGTTCCTTGCAGCACTAATCACAATAACCAAGATGTGGAAACAATCTAAATGTCCATCAAAAGATGAATGGAAAAAGAAAATATCTAGATCGATCTATCTCTCTCTCTCTCTCTCTCTCTCTCTCTCTATCTATCTATCTATCTATCTATCTTCTATCTATAATATTCCATTATACAGAGGGTATAAAAATGTATACACATTTTAAGAAAGAAAAAACTGTATTAAAATTGTAATACTCAATATATACCAATAGCAAAAGATGAAAACAAGCTATGTTTGACTTCTGCAATTATAAGAGGTGCTCAAAGTTGTTACCAACAGCGTACTTTTAATACAATTTTTTCCTTTCTTAAAATGTGTATACATTTTTTTGGCTCCCTCTGTATACATATCCCATAATATACCTATAATTCCATTTAGAATATATATGATACAATATCAACACATATACTGAGTATGATGTGTTAAAATCTCCCATTAGTAAAATGTATCCTTCCATGGTCTTTAGACTTTGCTTTTTAAAGGGCATTGCTGGGCCGGCCGAGTGGCTCAGTTGGTTAAGAGCTCGCTCAAGAGTTTGAGCTCTGAGCAACAGCGGTTCGAGTCCAGCCCGAGCTGAGCAGCCGTTGAGCTGCCAACAGGTAGCAGGATGGCTCAGCTAAAAAAAAAAAAAAAATTGTGAAAAAAAATAAAGGGCATTGCTGTGTTACTGGGGGCCTAGATGTTATTAATTCCTGTATCTTTGTTGTTAATTGTGGTTTTTTCACAAATAAGCATGCTTTTTGTTGTTGCAGCTATTTTAGAAAGCATCCTTTTTTCTTTACTCTTACTGCTTTTTTACACTTGAAATTTACTTTGTTGATTCAGACTCTTGTTTCTGAAAAACTTTTCTAAATTGTAGTTTTAAATATTAATTTGTTATATATGACGTCAGAGGGATAATAGATTGGGGGAGGGGCGTTATCACTTTGTGATAGTATTCCATGCTAGTATTCCATCTCAAACACTTTCTTTCTGACTCCCTTTTCTTTTTTCTTTATCTCCTCTTCATTCTATTTGTTGTTTTCCTTTGTTGTTTTGCTTCAATGCTCCTTATTAAGTTTTCACATGGATCTATTCTTCTTAAGAAACTTTTAATTTAATGTTAATTTCTGATATGACTTTATCATTTTCTTCTATTTTATTGTCCTGTGTTCATCAACATATGCTTGACCAATTTTTTTTTGTCCAATTATTTGTCAGTTTTTAGTTTTCTATTTCAAGGTATTTTTTCTTACCTTCAAATGCTTGTTTGAGAAAATTTATATTTGTTTGATGTACTTTGTTATAGTTTTATTTTTCTTGGTCATTTTTTATTGGTGGAAAATTTTATCAAATGCCTTTTATTTGATTCTCATGTTCTGCTTTCTTTTTGTAGTAGCTTGGTATAGATTAAGATTGGTTGCACCTGTGATTTTGTATGGATCTATCTGGCAGTTTCTGGGTGGTTTCTAAGCTCAAGTGGGCCCTCTTCTCTACAATCAACAAAGTATGGTTTCTTAAAGGAGGGCTTTTGGAATACAGTAGGGGCAGGAGGGGGGTGAAGGTTGATGGGTCCTTTCACATTGACTTTTTTTTTGTCTTGTAAGGTGATAAATATCCCCTTTTATTTTCCCCTGCACTGTACATTTTTCACCCCAAAAGTCACCTCTCCCTTTCCTTTTCAAACCTTTGATAGCCCCAAAGAGTTCTTTTCCAATATTGCTTTCTTAAGTCTGATGCATACTTCTAAGTCACTCCCTTAAAGGCCGAGTTGACAGAAAAACTTGAGAATTTTCATAGTTGGGGTAAACTTCCTTTTTTGCAGTGATTTTAGATTAATCTTCAGCTTCCTATTTGTTTTCCTCTTCTCATTTTCTTCTCTCTTTTATACAGTGTTTCCTGGACTACCCTTGCTCTTCACAACAGCATGTGATGTGGACCTAATAGCTCATGTGATCTCTGTTTTATTTTTCTGCTTATAGATACTTCAGAATTTGGTTGTTCCCCAAATTTGGTGGTGTATTGTGTAGTTGTATTTGTTCTTATTAGTCTTTACTGTTTGAGTGGGGGGATGGATGGGTTAGGAGATTTGGATTTAGGTTGATGCCATTTTTGTATCCACCATATATTTTTAAGGGATAAACTGGAAAAATGAAACAGACACCACAAGATAAAGTATGCATTCTAAAGCAAATTAATGCCAACGATCTTTTCTTACATAATTTTGGAGCTGTAGAGTGGTAAAATGCCCACTGAGCAAGTAAAATACTTATGCTTTGAGGTAAATGCATCATTAAAACAATAAAGGTAAGAAAAGCTTATTTTCTGAGACACTATTATAAAATTTCTATTAAATAATCTATTACCATTGTGTATTTAGAACAGGATAAATAATTTTTATGTCCCATGTGAGATTGTTTTTTAGATCCAGTGATCATATTTTAAGATTTGAGAACTAGATACACTTTCAGTATTATTCCTTCTAGTCTAATTCCATTATGCACTCTAGGGAACAGGGAGCCTATTTCACTCCTTTGTGAGATGAACATGTCAGCAATTAAATTCAGTTTCATAGTAAAGATACGTTGTAGTTTTGTATATGTGATTTTGATTATTCTTTATAAATATTAGCTAAAAACAAAATTTGGGTTAAAACATATAGAGTACAGAGACAGCTAATCAAAAGAAAAATTAAAAACCTCTCTAAAATCAATATATCAAAACTTTCAATGCCTGAATTTTTATTGTGATGTGACCTTGCACTTATACATTAGTAATTAATTTGTATCTCCTGTCTCCTTGTAAAAACATGAACCATAGGGCCAGCTGAGTGGTTCAGTTGGTTAAGACCTCACTAAAGAGTGCTAGCTCTGAGCAACAGCGGTTCAATTCCCAGCCCTAGCTGAGCTGCCACTGAGCTGCCAACAGGTGGCAGGATGCCTCAGCTAAAAAAATAAAAAAATAAAAGAGTCTCAAAAAAAACAAAAAAAAAAACATGAATGATAGACTTCATGAATAAGCTGTTACTGAATGCTTATTATGTGCCAAGCACTGTGTTTGCCAACATTTACTAAAAGTTTACTTAAAATATATTTATCAAAGATGATGAGCCTCTTTTTCCTTCTTTGTATAGGAGATAGTACTATGGTAGGTATATGTACTGCCTAGAACATAAGGGTGGGAGCATTTTTCTGTTACTGTTCCACTCTGTACATTGTAAGGCAGCTGTCATTGTTGACAAATGACACTAAGCAATACAGTATCTATGTACAATCTTAATGTAATATAAAATGACTGTTTTGCTTTTTGAAGGTTGCTACTAATTTATTTAATAAATATTATACACACACCCAATTCCTTCTGTCATATAATTTGCTTTTTTTTCATTTTCTAAATGATGCAAGCAAAAAAATTAACTTAATGAGTGTTCACTGTGATACCTGACACAAATTTATGACATAATCTGAGATTGAAAAAATAAATAAAATTGTACTTACCATAAAGGACTGCGAGCAGAGACAGTGGCATTACAAGCAGTCCCACCAACATATCAGCAATGGCTAGGGACATTAAGAAGTAATTGGTGGCATTGTGCAGTTTCTTTTCCATGCTTACTGCCATGATAACGAGAATGTTGCCACCTATTGTCAAGATTATGATTATGATGATTGAAAGTGCTGGCCAGTTTTGTACCCCGTCTGAGAATTTGAAGCGTCCACCATCGGAGGTATTGAAAATGTCAGTTACTATAGCTGCAACTGGGCTCACAGAAATATCGCATTGCCAAACCAATAGGCCAATTAGGTGCACACTGAAAATTAAGAAAAAAAAACTAATCAGTTACATATACTATTGCTGAAATCTACTAAATTGCTTATACAAAACAATTGCTTTACCTCAACAATCACAATCATCATCATCATTATCATTTCTACTCTTTTAATTAACCTCAGTGTGTTTTCTTTTTATCCAAAATACTTTAACTGATTGCTTAATGTGAGTCAGGCACTTAGCATACTGAAATATATATGTATTATCTCATTTGATCTCATAGAACAACCTTGTGAGGTCAGTAATGATTTATACATGGTCTGACAATTAAGTTTGCGAACTTGTTGCAGCAACGTTGCTAACCATTTTTTGATATCAGAGGAGTTATTCATTATGAATTGTTACCAACTGGACAATTAACCACGTTTACTGTGGGGCACAAGCTGTGAGCTGACAGGGTCCTCACAGCCTGTGGAACAGTTCAGGGAACGTTCCACCCCCACCGATCCAAGAAGAGAAAAGAATAGCTGAAGCCGCAGGAGCCTCTGCAAAGTGCATAACAAATGTAACCTGCTTGTGCACTCTGAGATGTGCATAACAGGATGTAACTTACTAAGGTCTAACCCAATAAACAGAACCCCTGCAGCTGCTTATTGCTCTCTGCAGCTGCTTGCTACTATATAAGCTTTCTGCAAAAAATAAACTTGACCATTGCTCCGCCATCAGTGGTCACCATCAGCAGTCGGTGGACCTCCCGATTCCAGCTTTTGTCTCTGTGTCTTTCTTTTCTAATCTCCCACCCAGTCCACTTGGGTAGCTTCGGTTGACGAGCGGGTCTTGTCAGTTTACTATTTGGAAGTGCTAAAAAGGATGCTTGAAAAAGTTAGACAAAAACGACCTGAACATTTCACCAACAATTCATGGCTCTTGCATCATGACAACGCACCAATTCACATGACACTGTCTGTGAGGGAGTTTTCAACCAGTAAACAAATAACTGTATTGGAACAATCTCCCTACTCACCCGATCTGGCCCCCAATTACTTCTTTCTTTTTCATTTTTTTTTAAGCTGAGCCATCCTGCTACCTGTTGGCAGCTCAGCGGCTGCTCAGCTCGGGCTGGGAATCGAACCACTGTTGCTCAGAGCTCAAACTCTTGGGCGAGTTCTTATCCAACTGAGCCACTCGGCTGGCCCTTCCCAATGACTTCTTTCTTAACCCAAAGATAAAGGAAATATTGAAAAGAAGATATTTTGATGACATTCAGGACATCAAGGGTAATACTATGACAGCTCTGATGGCCATTCCAGAAAAAGAGCTCCGAAGTTACTTTGAAGGGTGAGTAGACACTGGCATCAGTGCATAGCTTCCCAAGGGGAGTACTTCAAAGGTGACCATAGTGATATTCAGCAATGAGGTATGTAGCACCTTGTCTAGGATGAGTTCGCGAACTTGATTGTCTGACCTCGTACTTATTATGTAGACGAAGAGACTGAGGTTTAGAGAAGTTAAGTGATTTTCTCATGGCAATCTAACCAGTACGTGGCAGGGGAATGGTCCGTACTCAGGTTTCACACATCTCAAAGCCTGTGTTTTAAACTTTCACACTATACAAGTAATCTGAAACCATAGGATTGTTTCATTTGTTGTAATGGTGTATTCCTTATATTTCTAAAATATTAGTTTTTCTAGATATCCTCTAAGACAGAGGTCAGCAAACTCTTGAGATGGAAGAACAGCCAGAGCTATGATAGTTTTATTTTCATTTTCAATTTTACTTCAGAGCCATATGCATGTACCCAAAGATTCGCATGTGGCTCGTGAGCCACAGTTTGCTAACCCCTGATCTAAGATAACTGAAAACAAAGTGAAAGGAGATTTTCTTTGAAGTATCCAGTACCAGGAGAAGAGAATTGGAAATTGCATTTTTTCCCCAAAAACTAAGAAGAAATAAGTTGCCATCAGACCAAATTCAGGCAAGATTCTGAAAGAGGTACAAGGGGTTTGGCAACATTACATATTCATCATTTCTTTTTATGACTCTTCTTACCTTCTCACAGTCACAGAGTCATGTTATGCTGGTTAATTGTTTCTTAACATCTATTTTTTAAATTAAACCTTATTGGGGTAACAATGGTTAGTAAAGTTACATAGATTTCAAATGTACAATTGTGTAATACATCATCTATATATCACATTGTGTGTTCCACATCCAGAGTCAGTTCTCCTTCCATCACCATATATTTGACCCCATTTACCCTCTTCTACCACCCCCCCTTAACCTCTGGTAACACTAAACTGTGTCTATGAGTCTTTGTTTCTTTGTCTGTTTGTCTTGTTCCTTTGTTGCTTTCCGTTTTATCTCCCACGTATGAGTGAAATCATATGGTTCTGTCCTACAAAATTTTCTTCTACCTGATAATCTCCTCATTTCTGTTCTATGTTTCCTGGGCCCTGTTGTATGTCAGAAAATGATTTGTGGTGATGATTAATTCGTATGCATTTGCCTCTTTCGTATGCTGGAAACAAAATCTATTGTCATTTAGAATGTACATTTCTTATGATGGTACTTTGATAGATTCTACTAGAAGGAATTTCAAGCCAGGTTGCAGACTAATTCAAGAGAGAGATGAATATGGTTATGTTTTATACATTTCAAATTAATTTCCCTGATGGTAACATGAGATTTATTCCAGTTACATACATTAAGTGTCTTCTCAAAGTGTCAGTTCTTAAACTGTCTTAAAAAACTAATATTTATTTGCCTTAATACGTTAGATAAGAGAAACTATTCAATATTTCCTACTTAAAATAAATGACTATCATCAGTGAATGACTGTCTAATATGTATTCTGTGTTCAATAATAGATAGTTAATGACTATTAAGCAGCAACAAGGCTATATGTAGTGATTGTTAAACAATGATATTATTTATAAGGAAGAAAATTTCCTCTACTGGTACAATACATGCTGAACATTTTCTATGCAAGAAAGTTGAAATAAGATTATTTCTAGAACTGGGGAGATGGAACACATGACATTACAGCATCCAAAGTCTATGTGTTCTTTATGTAAATGCTTTTATTACATTGTTTCATTTACTTGTACTTTGAACCTGAAATATTATCTCCATACAGGGAAACTATATGTGTGATTTGATTGACTGATTACTCATTATTATCAATCATCAGAGAAACTGACAGTAGTAAAACTAGATGATGTGATTATATTAATCATATCATATCTATACCATTATACACACACACATGCATACACACCATACCTTCTGAATCAAAACTGGAGAACATTTAGTCTGAAAAAATTATTGACATTATTCAAACTTAAGTAAAAATATTGTAATAATGTTCTAGCATATTTAAAAATTATTTTTCTTAATATCTTGTTAATATACTTCTATGTACTTTAAGATAATGAAGAAAAAATGAAAATATTTTGACTTCTTCATTCTTAAAGGGATAGAAAACTAAAACTTCAGACATTTAGCTTAAAATTATTTCCTCATTAGTCAAAGCTTACTGATATTCTAAGCAACATGGAGGGGAGACACGTACATACTAATTTTTGTCAAATAATGAGAAGCAATCAGTAACTTCTTTCAAATGCAGGCCATATTAATTTCCTAGAGCATAAAAAAGCTAAAATAATACATGATTCAAATAATCGATATCATAATTCATCTGTGATTAATATGAATAGAAATTATTGAAATAAATGACTAACTAAAGAGAAACAAGTTATTTGCTCTCAGCTTTGATTATTCTGTCACTATATTTGGCTACATGACCTCAAGAATTTTTTTGACCAGTCACTTAACCTCTTAGAACATAAATTTCCTCATTTGGACAGTGAGGATGCTCTTTATGACATGTTGTGAAAATTAAATGGTGTGAGGTGTGATAAAAAAAATGCAGTGAATGTTGAAATCAAAAAGAAATTATTACAGTAAAAGACACATTGCCATAAATTTTCCTCAAAATACTCCCCCTTGCTTTGAACACACTTATCTCACCATTCTTGCCTCTTTCTGACATAGTTCTGGAAGTCCTCTTTTGTGAGTGTCTTCACTTCATCTTCATTGTGACAATGCTCCTTGTCACACATCGCCTCTGCTATGGCAATTTCTGTCAATTAAAAACATTATGGTGTGTCCTCATCCACTTTATTCACTGAATTGGGCACCATTCAACTTCTGGCTTTTCCCCAAAGTCAAAATGACCATGAAAGGTAAATGTTTTTAATTGATTCAGGACATTGAGGCAGTCACGACAGCGCATCTAAAGACACTCACAAAAGAGGACTTCCAGAACTGCTTTTGGAAGTGGCAAGATCAATAGGATTAGTGTGTTAGAAGCGAGGGGGAGTATTTTGAGGGGGATTAATAGCAATGTGTCTTTTACTGTGATTTTCTTTATTTAAACATTTACCATTTTTTTATTACACCTTGTATGTATAAAAGTCCTGAAAATAGTACTTTTGTCATAGTAGGCCTTCAGCAAATGTTGGAGCTTACACTCTTTTTGTCTTCAAAATTAAACAAAAGTATTTTATAGTAACTATACTCCAACTCATGTAACAGGGGTGCCAAAAAAATGTATGCAAGTGGACACTATGGTCAATGTTGCTCAAGCAATAGTTCGCCATAATCAGAACTGTCTGGACACTGAAGGTAACCACTATGAGCAACTTTTGTAATTGCAGAAGTCAAACATGACTTGTATTTATCTTTTGTTATGCATAGATTGAATATTACAATTTTAGTACAGTTTTCCTTTCTTAAAATGTGTATATATTTTTTGCCACCCTCTGTATTTTAAAATGTGTCAAGAATTTAAGTTCTGATTTTATTTTATTTTATTTTAAGATTTTTATTGGGGAATTAAGGGAAGGAAGAGAGTTGGGGAATCAGGGAAGGGGAACAGACAAGTTGCTGTCCTTTTTTGTTCCTCAGTCTAGTTGTGGAGGATGTCGTTTAACTGGCCCATTGTTGGTATTATGATCATTGCGCTCTTCCTGGCTGAGGCAGATTGGTCACTGGCCATTGGAAGGCTGCTCACACCAGCTGCCTGCTGCTCACGGTAGCTTACAGCGGCCCACTGCAGCAGGGGCTGCAGCCTATGCCGTTACCGGCAGCTCATGGCAACCCAGCTCCAGGTTGAGCTGTTGTTCACCATCTTAGCTGTAGAGGCGCAGCGTCACTGGCCCATATGGGATCTAAACTGGTGGCCCTACTGCTCAGAGCTCGCACTCCCAAGCCAACACTTAACCAACAAGCCACTCGGCCAGCCACTGATATTTTAAGAAGATAACTATTCATTCAGAACTGGGCTCAGTAATTTTAAATCCCGGGCTCTTTTCTGGCCTAGCTGACAAAAAAAAAATGTCCTCTGGCATTTCAATTTTTTTTCTGGTTTAAATTACCTGACAATCATCTCAAGTACTCCTACAAGATTTTATGCTCACAATAATATATTGCAGCTTCAATTGTCATTTGCAGGACTATCCTTATACCTAGAGAATAAGGTCCTAACAGAATATGCAGTCCAACTTCACATTAAGTAAATTGTGGAAACATCTCAATCCTTTCATATTTCTCGAAAAACAGTAGAAGAATGCAGAATGAAATTGTACATAACAAAAATATATGATAAACTATGTCCAATTATGAATTTTATAATTCGAGTATCTTAGAATTTTGGAGTAGAAAACCAATTCAAGTAGTCATCTTGCCTACCTCTACTGGAGATATATATATATATATATATATATATATATATATATATAGTTAAAGAGTCAGTAAGACAAATACTGAATTACTGAAGAAGCTTGTAGAATCTAAATATATCTATTGTGAATTATAAGAGAAAATAATGGTGCTGGAAAAGATCCTTAAATGAGTATTTACTTCATTGCCTTGGTTCTAATTCAGTTGCATTTAATAAATTCTTAATGAGTACTAATTATGGGCAAAGTATATTGAATTTTATTGTAGTTCAATCCTATATTCTATAGTTTTGTAATCAAGAATTGGCTATATTATAATTAAACTTAATTTCTAATATTTACATGCTCAGTGAAATATATACAGTCCTTTTACAAAATAGGAATAATTTAGGTCTTGCTGTTAAAGCTTACATTGTTATTATGCCCAGAGAAGGCTCATAAAATATGTACACAGAAATCAGCAGTTCTCTCTGAACAATGCAAGTAATTTATTCATTGCTATTAAATTTTTAGTGAAAATCTAACTTTACATTCTTAGTAGATAAATTAAACGATAATTTGATTTAAAAGCCTGAATACCTTTTAAGTCTGAGCTCTTCCATTGCATATGACAATGAGCATTATGAGAAGAGATAAATGGTTTTTTTGTTTCTCTTAATAGAATGGGAAACAATTGATATGAATTCCTTAATCTGATACCAGGATAATTTGGTGCCATTTAAAGTAGCCCTATGTTGGGCCGGCCGAGTGGCGCGATGGTTAAGAACTGGCTTGGGACGCCAGAGAGCCCCGGTTCGGATCCCACATATGAGGGCCAGTGACACTGCCCTCCACAGCTTAGATGCTGAACAACAGCTCAACCGGGAGCTGGGCTGCCGTGAGTCGCCGGCGACAGCGTAGGCTGCAGCCCCTGTGGCAGTGGATTGCCATGGGCTACCGTGTGTAGCCAGCAGCCAGTGTGAGCGGCCAGCAGCCGCAGTGAGCAGCCATCCAGAAGCCGGCGACTGATTTGCCTCGCCTGGAAGAGCACAATGATGGTGCCAACTTGGGCCAGTGAAGCAACGTCCTCCACAACTAGACTGAAGAACAAAAGGACAGCAACTTGTCTGTTCCCCTTCCCCCAATTCCCCAGCACTGTTCCCATCCCCCAATTCCCCAATAAAAATCTTAAAAAAATAAAAATAAAGTAGCCCTATGTTTTGATATATAGACCAATGGTTACACATATATGTTGAGTTGACACAGGTGCATGAAACACTTATCCTTTCATTTTCTTATACCTGACTCTTCTTTATCATTGTCCTTCACCCTTTTTTTTCCCTGTCTCTTCTAGTTCTTTTGGAATCACATATCCTTGAGACTGTCATCATTACAATGTACAATGACATCCAAGGTGGGCTACAATGGTGCATATTGCAGAAGATTCAATGTTGATGTACTTTATATCTACACTATTCTGTAAACTTTTTCCTGGATGAACCCTTTTACAGGAATCATAGAGGAGATTGTGTAGAAGCAAGGTGATTGAAGGCTTCTCCACTGTACTGGTCAGAGTTTACAAAGCCCCAGATCTTTTTTTCAATGCCCCATTCCTCAAAGGGTAGGTTTAGAAGAAACTAGTCCTACATTTTACCAAGTTAAATCAAAGATATGCCTGAATTAGATCATGTTTGGAATTGCTCAGTACTTGATTCCAATTCTTTACTTATCCCCTTTATGTTACATTTTAGTGACTTTAGCTACTGGGTCATTGCACTGGGTCATTTTTAAAAAATAGCATTGTTATGGGCTACTATGTGTGGCCAGCAACCAGTGTGAGCGGCCAGCAGCCTCAGTGAGCTGCCTCCCAGAAGCCAGCGACTGATCTGCCTCACCTGGGAAGAGCGCAATGATGGTGCCAACTTGGGCCAGTGAAGCAACGTCCTCCACAATTAGACTGACGAACAAGACGACAGCAACATGTCTGTTCCCCTTCCCCCAATTCCCCAGCACTCTTCCCATCCCCCAATTCCCCAATAAAAATCTTTTAAAAATGGCATTGCTTTCCTCTGTCCAGCTACACCCCCCACTCCTCACTCCCTGACTTCTGATCCATTATTTTGACACCTCATTATTCTCCTTAAAACCAGACGTATAACAACATTTTATTCTCTTGGCTGTTCAGTTCATGCAGAAAGAAAAAGGAAATAATCTTTTAATTTCTGTGTTTTAATTATGGAGAAAGCAACCACAGACACTTGAATTCTTTTTGAATTGAAGGTATTATTACCATATTACTTGTTTGAATACATGAATGGTTGTGTTTAATTGAGGTTCAAATTACTTTTTTCCCATTTATTATTTTTGAATAGGAAACACTTATAATATTAGTCTATTGGAATGAAAGTCACTAATGCAGATTATAGAAAATATAACTGAATGATCATAGAAATGTCTTTTTAACATTTTGAAGCAAGCTACCATAAAAAGTTATCTTTTAAAAAATAATAAGTAATTACTTCCTTACAGGAACGAACGCACCGCTTTCCTTAGGTTCACCATGATTGCTTCAGTCTTAAGCAACCAAAGTTTAAAATTGAGAAGAGGAAGTTTGGATTGGATTCATAATGCCATCCTTTCTGGGGAAAGGAAAAGAAAAAAGAAAAAGAAATTAAAGTTCCAAATTACTTGCATAATAACCAATTAAATAAACTTAAATGTACTTATTAAATAAGAAACAATCAATACTAAATTTAGCAAACAGATAAGCATGTTATATCATGTAAATGATTAAAAATGGCAAAGAGAATAGAATTTTCATTATCTTCCAACATATGACCATTATAGTTTTTCTAAAATTTCATGTATACTCTTTATTTATGTGGGACTTCCACTAAATGTCCCCCAGTGGAGAACACATAGCTTCAAATGAGTGTTTGTTTTGAGAAAGAAATTAAGAATATATGTTTCTTAATTTGCAAACCTTTGGGAGACAGTTTGTGATCTAATAATAAAATAGCATATATAAAGTAAAAAGGTTTCATCTTATAGGTACATGGGAAACTAAAACAAGTATTAAGCATTTTTATAAAGTGAACATATTTTGTACATTTCTAACTATTTTTCTTCAAAGTGAAACTATCTGTATTTACATAGATAGCTTTATTTATACTTTTGCCTTAACCAACAATATTCTCCAGAGGGCAGAAACAGGTTTGTACAAAAGTAAATGAGTCGGTAAAGTTTACTATGTTAAATATAGCAACCACCGTATGTACCAACTAGTTACTAACCAGTAGATAGCACGTTACAGTCAGGGTACATGGAATAATGCTGAAAATTGCAAACAAAAGGTCAGTTGCACTGCATGATAAACAAAAATCTTTAGCTTCTTTTATTAAGAGGTGGCAATGTGTGTTCAAAGTTACTACGAAGGAAACATGAAAACTCTCCAAACAACTTATCAAAGCATTTCAGAATGAACACCTTGGATTTCTGTAGGCTATTTTTCAAGGAGTTATTTGATTCATTGCAAAACCCCACCAGATATTTACATAGCAGATTATTCACCACTTAGCATGCACTATATTAGTATGCTAAAATGTTGGCTAAGAGGTGACTGGATGCAAGTTTGCTGAGAAACTCTGCTGCACACTGTGGAAATAGCATCTTACAGAGTGGAACCTATTACTGTCAATCTTTGCATTGACTTCAAAGAAATACTTAATGTGAGTTCTAGTGATTAACATAGAGACCCTTTGGTTTTTGCCTAATGATTCCTAACTGGGAATAGAATAGGTAAACCTCTCTGTTCTTCATCTTGTTTTTTAGATATCTTCTATTTAGGATTTTGACTATATTCTCTTCCCACACCAAACATCTAAGTCTATTTGTTTCTGGGATTATAAGCTATTACAAGAGTCAAATTTGTGATGTTGTTAAGTTTGCATGCAGTGGGCTGTCAATAAGAAAAATGTAGTGTGTGTGTGTGTGTGTGTGTGTGAGAGAGAGAGAGAGAGAGAGAGAG